GCAGCAGCAGTAGCAGCAGCAGCAGCAGTAGTAGTAGTAGTAGTCGCCGTAGTAGTGCGGTAGATGATATGAATCCTGCAATACCTCAATGTCCTTAGACTACAGGAATTTGTTTACATTCCTTATAATGGGTAATGCACGATTTGTATCATCATCATCAGTAGTAGTAGTAGTACTAGTACTAGTAGTAGTAGTAGTAGTAGTCGTAGTAGTAGTACTAGTAGTATTAGTATCAGTTGTAGTAGTAGTAGTAGCAGTAGTAGTAGTAGTAGTAGTAGTAGTGGTAGTGGCAGTGGTAGTGGTAGCGGTAGTGGTAGTGGCAGTAGTAGTAGTGGTGGTGGAAGTAGTAGTAGTCAGTAGTCAGTAGTCAGTAGTCAGTAGTCAGTAGTCAGTAGTCAGTAGTCAGTAGTCAGTAGTCAGTAGTCAGTAGTCAGTAGTCAGTAGTCAGTAGTCAGTAGTCAGTAGTCAGTAGTTAGTAGTTAGTAGTTAGTAGTTAGTAGTTAGTAGTTAGTAGTTAGTAGGTAGTAGTTAGTAGGTAGTAGTAGTAGTAGTAGTAGTAGTAGTAGTAGTAGTAGTAGTAGTAGTAGTAGTAGTACGCGTAGTACGCGCGTAGTGCATATTTGACGCTGCGTTTTCGTGCACTTGGCAGACAGAAAACACTGTAATTTGCGATGTATGCAGGACAGGGGGGGTCCTTGTCAGGGGAGCGGGGAAATTTGGATTATGTTGGTTGTCAGCAAGTGAATCAGCTCGGATCTAATTATATGAACTGTGCAAGAACAACAGGAAGTTTTTAACGGGGAGCCCGCACAAGGAGCGCAGTTCTGAGCCATGGCTCGCAAACTCGTCCGTGGGCGCAACAAGGGCAAGCAGCGTCTTCACCTGTGTGTTGCTTGTGGCAACACGGGGCACCGCGTGGAGACGTGTGGCACAGCGGCAGCTCAGTTGATCCGGCAGTTGCGAAGCAAGCTGGCGGATGCACTGCAGACAGAGGTTAAAGGTTTAGGTAAAAGTTAAGGGTGAAAGGTTTAGGGTTAAAGGTTGAGCGTAGAACCCGAAACTCCCCCCCCCCCCCCAACCCACCAGCCCCAAGCCCCCCCCCACCCCCCCAAGCCAAGCCAAAGCCAAGCCAAAAATAAGTACTGAATATATATTCCAAGGCCCTCATGCAAACGCAAGGCTCTCATAGGAAATCCAAGGCCCTCATACGAATTCCAAGGCCCTCATGCGAATTCCAAGGCCCTCATACGAAATCCAAGGCCTCATCAGCTTGAACCTTCGATACCAGACACACCCACCGTCAACCTTGAAGCCCAAAACCCAAAGACATCTTCGCTCTGAGCGTGAAGCCCAATCCGAAAGATAGAATTCTCTTAATTGAAGCTTTCCAGAATTCCCCGCTCCCCAGAGAATTAATGAAATTAGCTTAGAACTCGAGTTTTGGGCATGTGAAGTGAGGAAAAGCATAGCGTCAATTATGCACTACGCTCTTAGTAGTAGTAGTAGTAGTAGTAGTAGTAGTAGTAGTAGTAGTAGTAGTAGTATCAGTAGTAGTGGTGGTGGAAGTAGTAGTAGTAGTAGTAGTAGTAGTAGTAGTAGTAGTAGTAGTAGTAGTAGTAGTAGTAATACTAGTAGTAGTAGTAGTAGTAGTAGTAGTAGTAGTAGTAGTAGTAGTAGTAGTAGTAGTAGTAGTGGTAGTAGTAGTAGTAGTAGTAGTAGTAGTAGTAGTAGTAGTAGTACAGTAGTAGTAGTAGTAGCCGCAGTAGCAGTAGCAGCAGTAGCAGTAGCGGTAGCAGTAGCAGTACATAAACACACACACATATATATATATAAATAATCATATGTATTTCTGTATGTATAGTACGTATACACTCCGACCTATCTACCTACATCATGCACACACGCACACTCACAACGCACACGAATGCATACATAAAAATGCTTTTACGTATGTGCGCACATCTATATGTATATCTGTTTGAGTTTGTAGCGTTGCTCGCAAACAATTTCAGGGGGGAGTGTAGGATGTAATGTTTCGTGTAGCCATGGGTCTACGGTCCAGGACCTTCTGTCGAGTTGCATGGTTGAGAGTTGTAGGCGGTATGATTCAGGACGCATGATGGTACCGGCACCAAAAAGCACGCCCATGCAGTCCATACCCCAACGATCCCCAGGGTATAAGCCATAAATCCCGAAGAGAGCAAGCAACGCTTGGACAAAAAGTCAAGCCTACATGTAGGACTTCTGGCGTTGTAGGTGCGGCTTTGATTTTCGATCCCTGCCTTGGGTTAGTCATAGGGAGACTATACTTCCTTACATAGGGCTATTATTAAATCCTTATTATGGGTATTAAGGCCCGCTACCTCCCTAAGGGTCCCTATGGGTTAGTCTAGAGTGGAGCACCCTAGACTGGAAATTCAGCGGTTGAAGTGAGATGCAGGATTCGGGCATGGCTGGGGATAGGAATAGAGCAATAACATAAGGGAGTTTCCTAAAATACAGGACCCTGATATAGTGCCCTACCTAGTCGGATCCTTATTAAAAGGACCCTAAACAAGGTACCCGAAGGTTCGGAAACCCCCATGAAGACACTGAAAATCTGCTCTGAGGTTGCTGGGTGTTACATCTGCGCCATCGACAGCGACATGTCTCGGAAACGGCGGGAAATTTTGTCGGGAAATAGACTTCCGAGAAGAGCTGCTCGGAAGTCGGAGTTGAGGAATGAGGACAGAGGGTTCAACATTCCTGAGCCGGTAGGTTGTCGTCATGAACCATTAACTGTAGTATTGATGTTCGTGTACTTCTGCAGGTATACGTATATGCATATATAAAAATATTTACATACATGTGCACTTTCTCAGATGCGCATACCTTCGTGGATATCGGAACATGTAAAAAACATCTTGCTCGTGGTTGTGAGAGATAGTGAGTCAGCCAGTAGTGTGTGTGTATTTAGATGTTTTTGGTTTGGATTCATATCTCTGGGTGAACGGAAAGTTTATGGGACACAGTCCTCCGTCAAGCCTAACCAACCGTTTTCTGATCCTTTGGTGGTCGATTCTCGAAGATTCATGAACACTCTGTTCTCTTGCGGGCAAGGATCGAAAATGATTTGCCCTGAAAACGGAAGGCTTGGCAGGTCAGCCTGTCGCAGAATTTCTGGCTTCGAGCTTTCGGCTTGAAGGTGCTTTTGAAGGCTTTTGAAGGTTCGAAAGCGGTGTTCGGACATGAAAGCTCGGTAGTCCAAGACAGGACGACTTGCGAGCGGAATTCATGCACAATGCATGGACCCCTTTCTTCCACATGCAAATGCACCGGTGGGCGTGGAATCAGGCGCATTGAACTCTGCCTGTTGAGCTTCATTCGGGAAGGTGCTGCAACAGCTAGGTGCCTCAAGACTGCATATCATGAAAGGTGGTGAAGTTTGTGCCAAAGCTTAGGAAAAGACACAATCTCACGGTGTGTCAGCAAAGACCGCAGCGCATCAACGCGCACCTGGTAGTCCGAGATCTCCTCGTGCGACCACGATTGGCATCCCAGAACACATGCGGCACTATGGCGCAAGCACGCATTCAGGAGGCAGATGCGCAAGCACAGGAAACACAAGTCGCACCGCAAAATTTGTGTGGCTAAGCGGTGGGAGCACGGTCTGGGGAAACGGAATTTGCACGGGACTGCCAAAATGCTCGCGGCGCTGCTGCCGTAGCACGATTGAGAACTTAAAGGCTGTGCTTTGCTTGGTACCACGCCGACAAAGCAAAAGAACCCCGTAGTCTTACCGCTCTTTGCAGAGAATGACAGATTATCGTGCGGTTCGCAATAAATGAAGTAAGCTTTGCCCGATACTACAGGTTGCTGTCCGAGTAATATACAAGTCGGAAGAAGTAGCAGGAGTGTCACAATGTTTCTTTAGGGTCCGTATATAGTGTTATGCAATTCAGAGTATACTATCCACCCAAAACATTCGTCTAAGTATTAGGGATTCAGAGGCCTTGTGGTGAGGTTTACGTAGCCGTGAGCAATTGTTTAACTTCGGCGTTGGGGATCGGGGACACTACTACCCATAGGCCCCAAAGTAGTTCCTTTTTGGGATTATCTTATAGGATTCTATACACGAACCCCAAAAAGGAACTACTTTGGGGCCTTAGGGTACTTACCAGTTTTCAAGCTGCTTTGGGGGTCTCAAACTGATGATTCCACGCCGAGGATGGATTTGCGGCCTAAAGGTCTTTCCAGTTTTAGGAGCCGAGAGGCCACCCAAACATAAGATTTTGGGTGGGATATTTTTTTTTGTTGGGTACAATCTCGCGTGACTTGTGATTACAGGATGTGGACGTCCGATTAGAGCTGCGTCCGCGTCCGACCCTGGCGTTGGAAGAAAGCGTTGCGTGAGCTCGAGACCTTCCAGTAGTTGTTCGGGTTGGGGAGCGAGGGTATTGCGCTTATGTGTTGTGGAAAGCCGTGGGGGCTGATCTTGTCCAACTGCGCTAGACACTGATGTAGTCAGTGTTTTCTTGGGCCGCGACTCCGGTTAAACCTTGCCCTGCCTGCCTGTGGAATACAATTTCATAAGGCTCAAGAAACAAGCTTCCAAACCCAAACATCCCGAAACCCCAGTCAAGTCCAGCGGAGCTTTTAGGACTTGACTGGGCGCTAGGTCCTGCCACTTTGGGATACAGTTTGATTGTTTGCGCCCAACTTCAGTGGAAATGCATGAGGATGCCATTCTTAAATACCATCCTAACACCCCTCACGGCCTTGACACCACCCCTGAGCCCTCAAGCTAAGGAAAAGCCATTCGAAAGCCCCTAACTCTACAACCCACACTGAACCCTGCCCCCCCGACCATTTAAGGATCTCAGCACAAAAAGCCTGTAGCCGTGAAAAGGGCTCGCAAAAGAAAGGTATTATAACCCTAAGTCGAAGACCTCAGGGAACTTAGCCCCAAGGGCTCAAGCCTTAAGGGTCCAGTGCGACAGAAGAACCCCCCCAAAAAAAAGGAGCTCCCGTCGCCCGCTTTGCCTTTGCGGGGTGTGGACTTTGCGGAGGCTCTCTCGATGCAGGAGGCGCCGCCGGGTGTGGCTTTGGGGGTTCGAGGTATTGAGCTGATGATAGGGGGCTTTTCTGCTTTTGCAAAGCCTTTTCCTCAAACTTTGCATGGGCTATAAGTTGTTGATGAAGCTCATGTAGTGTTCAGGGTTTAGCAGGGGGCCCTGTGCAGTTCGAAGCTTAACATGGGCTCATGTAGGCACCTGAATAGTTGCCGAGAGTGCTCCTTGCAGTAGGGCTCTTCATGTAGACTGCCGCCAAAATTGTTCATGCCCTTATATTGGGCGGTAAAGGGTGCTTCGCGGCCATATAGGGATTATAGAGATAGACGGTGCTTGCACCTGGAGCCCCTTGTGCCTGAAGGACTTACAGATCTAGTCTAATCCTGTGTAAGAGATGTTTGTGTTGCCGGGCTTCGGGTTCATGAGTTTTCGGGTGCATGGTTTAGGGTGCGTGCAAGCCTGCAGCAAAAAGCAGCTTTCGCTGTTGCAGCTCGACATATATGTACACACATATATATATATATATATATATATATATATATGCGTATGTATGTGTAGAATATATATATATATATATATATATATATATATATATATGTATATATATATATATACATACATACATACATACATACATATCATACATATCTATACTATACTCCTGAACCGGCTCCAGGTTGGGTTTTCAGGAACCTCCGGGTGTTGTCGGCTTGCCTTCGGAGCAAACTCGTGTTTTCTGGTCTCCCGGCTAGAGTTTAAAGGAGAAGCCGCAGGGTTGAAGCTTAGAGCCTCTGCCCAGATTCCCAGCACCGACGCTCTGCAGTGGCTGGATGCCGTCCGCGCGAGTGGCGAGAGGTGCGACTGCAGTGACACTGGTATGTGCGGGCAAACGGGGTCGAGGGCAAGTGGGGAGCTGTAGAACACTCTCCAATTCATAGCCTGTGCCCGCTGCTGTGCCAAAGAAGACCACAGGATACTTGTTGCTTGTTTTTTGTTGCGTGGAGGGTCTACATCATTGGAGGAGTCTTCTCAGGAAAGGTCGAAGCGTTTGGATGCAGGGGTGTTGGACACCGTTGAGGGCCCTTTCTTGGGGCATATACCACTAAACTGGATACCAGTCCACGACCGAATCCCTGTCTTTGTCTGGTCGAAGGACTTTGAGAAATCGGAACCCAAAGCCAGACAAGAGAAGTCCTCAACTTGCTCAATCCAATTTTTAATTTCGGGCTGAGGGCCCTGAACCCTAAAACCTAGAACCTGAGTCTCACACCAGGTAGGAGGGCAAAAAACATCTCACACCCTAGGCCCTACACCCCATGCTGGCCCTGGCTGTGCAGAGCTCCAAGAGGTCGAAGTGTGGCCTCGACTTCGACCTCTTGTCGAGGAGGATCATCGATCAGAAGGTGCACATTAGTAATTAGATTCTGCGTGTATGTGTATATATATATATATATATATACATATATATATATATGTATGCTCATATTATACGGAAGACTGTAGATGTTTGTGAGTCTTTAGAGGTTCCTGCGACAGGGTTTCCAGATTTCGTTTCTGTTTCGGTTCATGGCACAGGATTCAAGATTTCAGGACGCTGGTGTTGAGGTTTCGAGGTTTGGGGTCTATGGAACTGCTGTGGGATAGCATCTCAGCGGAAAAGTGAAGACGGCAAGGCATTCTCGGTACTCGTTTCACCCGGCCTCGTGCAGCTGAGCTTGCCGCCAGGGATCAAACATGAACTGAACTACTGATGCAGATGACCTCTTCGACCAAAACCATCCGCACGTGTCGAGGGCAGTTTGTGGTGCCTTTGCTGGGGAACATGGATAGGCCGGAGGAGGATGGTTGTTTTTATGTTATGTTGTTTGCCAACTCACATGCCTCCAATTCTTGTAAGTTGTAGGCACCTTTAGCACTGTGCTGTTTCTTGTCCAAAACTGGTTGCTTGTTCGTGGCATGCAGGCGATCAGAAGTCGTGTGTAGCATCACTCTGCGCACGGGGCTGTAGTACTCGACTTCGGGGTTGAAGGGGTCAGGCCTGCCCCTCACATGAAAGGTGCCGCAGCTGCGGTCGCCGCCGACGAGGCAGACGCTCGTTTCACGGGCGCCGTCAACTATGCCTCGAGCCCAAAAAGAAGTGCAATCGTAAATCTCATCCAAGCTGGTTATGTTGTCAAACTCGCGCCACCTACAGTGATCCCCATGTGGGGGCCTAGAGTCGGCTAGTGCCCTGGTTCAACATGCAGAGCTGCTTACGACCCCGATAAGTAGCAGGTGGAGCTTGGATGGATGCGAGAGTCGACGCTCGTTTCGGCTGGGTTCGTTCGTAGCTTTGGTTTCTTTGGCAGCGACCTGCGGCAGCAGACTGGCAGTTCTTCGGGCATCGAAGCCCTAAGCGATGGCACGAGACTTTGTTGCTTGTTCTTTGTGTACACATACAGAAGAAGCCTGAACAGTCCGGATGGGGTAGTCATGCTGTTTGGGATGCTGCAGGCCGCAGCAAGGGCTGCCTTTGGAGGCGGGATATGCCGGACGAAGTGGGCTCAGGGCCTTTTAGGCCGCATCGAAGAGCGAGGTGAGTTACGTTTCAGGATTCAGAACTTGGGCTATGCAGTTTCAGGGGCTTGATGAGGTTGACTGTTATGGTGGCGGGTACGTGTGACATGGAGAGGAATGAGAGGAGTTGGGTGGTGTGGTCTCATGGGGAAGTTAACAGGCTTGGGCCTGGCAAAGATGTTTGTCACAAGACGGGAGCGACATCAAGATCGGTCGCGGATCTGTTCCAAGAAGAGGGGTGGGACGTATATAGGTGGGCCAGAGCAATTTTCCGGACCTCGATAGCGTGTAGATCATATCAGTAGTTATCTTAGTACTGTTTGATGTTGAAGACTGCCTGAAGCTTTCCCAAGTGCTTCCCCCTGGTATCTTCCGTAGGCCAGCTTGACACCACAAGCCGAAATTCAAGATGGCTGGGCTGTTGCTGATTCAGCCGGTTTTGTCGCGAGGGCTTGGGGGCTTGCAGGATCGGCCTTCAACCCTGAATGCCGTTGGAGGACATTGCGATCCGATTGATCCATTCTTTTGGCGACCTCACCTCAGCGTTCAACTTGCTGCCGAAGGCTGCTGCAACCTTGCGATCTGGAAAGCACCCTATCCCCAGAAGCCTCAGCGGCCACTGAATTGCAGCATGTGAGTGATCTGGGGTTGAAACGTGTCTGCAGTGAGGGAATTTTGCTTGATATGGTTCAAACCAGGGACCCACTGAGACAGCATGTTGGCTTCAGGGGAGCTTCGAGTGAGAAGGATCTGCTTTTGAGGTCAGGGACTAGCCCAGCACGTTGGCATTCCCTCTCCTGCAATGAATGGCTTTCCGCCAATAGACGAGTTTGCCCGTTCTCTGCTGCAGCCAGGCCAGTCAAGTGAATCAAACTCAGCCTCGCAGTGGCTCGTCCGCAGATGGTTTGCTTTCTGCAGCTATGACTGAGACTCGCCCCGACGATTCCTCCAGCATTCAATGATCAATGCGAGGCTAGCTGCGGACATGTTCTCATGAGAACAGTTTAGTTTCGGGGCGTTCGTGTGCCGGCATGATAAGAAACCGGGGACACATTGTATGGGACATCGGACTGGCCGAGCCAGTGTCCCAGACCTCGCGTCAGTATTGCATGAGCATTCACGCTTGTAATCTTGTTGGTAGCTCTTACACATGGGTGGTTGTCAAAATTATGGTCCCTTTTGGGTACCCTAAAAATTGGTAACAGCGCCTGGTATGTGACCGGCGTTTTGTGGCGTAGCTGAAACAGGCAATGTGCTAAAACCTAGGGAAAACGTGTATTATGACTAAAAAGTTGTGCCAGGAAAGGCGGAGAATCCCTGTGACAGGTCGATCGTTTTAGCGAAAAAGGTGATGGCGGCGCTGCAGTAAAAGCCACCTTTTCGAGCACCGCGCTGAGCAAACTTGGTCTGAGTGGACGTTACTATGGTTGACCCATGGAGGCTCTGCATCAATGAGATCTGGTCTGAGTGGACGTTAACATGGTTGACCCATGGATGCTCCGCATCAATAACATGGACCACCCATGGATGGTTTGTGCGACGTTGGTTGTAGCAAGTGCCGAACACGCCGTAATTACCGGTGTGTTCGGCATATGACCCTAAGGAAACATGGCTTCGATCAGAACTAGAGCTTGGGCCTGCCTGCCACAGAAGTCCGCAGTTCTGGGAGTTAAGGGTCGGGACTGGCCGGAATCAGCCCCCCACCCCCCCACCCCCCCACCCAAGAAAAGTGAGAGGACGTACAGGACGCACACCAGGCGTTGTCACCTAAAAATTAGGTGCCCTACTATATTAGGGACCCAAAAAGGGACCATCATTTTGACAACCGCCCACAGATGAGCATGTGGGTATCATGGGCAGCTCACAAGCCAAACTACCGCGCCATATCAGTAAACCTAACTTTGTCCAACATCCAGCCCATCAAGCGCTTGAAGTCCTGCGTATATGGGGTTTCTGAGAAGTAGTGTGCCCTATTGAGGGGTGTCCATACGGACATTGTTACACACGCATCTATATACATACATATGTTTTTGGAGTGATGTATGTTTGCATGGATGGCTGGCTGGATGGATGGATGGAGATTAATACATACATGGATATACAGGTATACAGATTTATAAATAAGTACACTTACATACATATGTATATGTGCACATACAGTACCTATACATGCCATGGTGTAGATCCGTGTTTCTGACGCCAAGTGATGGAGCCGGAAACCGCCTGGAGCCCGTCGAATGGATTCGGCCCTGAAAGCCCTGAAACCAACTGAGGGCTTGCTAAGTAGGAGGGAAAAAGGTGAGCCCACGGCCATCTTCAACCTCAAAGCAACCGCGGACAGGAGTACGATCAACGTCCGGGAACTTTAGGGCTTTGGGAGTGATGCAGGTGACGACAAGGCCCATCCTGTGATTCATGGGGCTTAGTGCTTTAGGTTCAGAGCAATTCCCCCCCCCCCCCCCCCTCCCGCCCTGAATCTTATCAGCACTTCCAAAGTGGTGCTCCGAATCTGCACATCCGGCGACTGTTTTGTGAGCGCCAGAGCCGAAGGATGATCTCCCGGCGGTAGAGCCTACCCAGAGGCTCCATAGTAGTTCTTTTTTGGGGGTTCATATGTAGAATCCTAAAAGGTAATCCCAAAAAGGAGATACTATGGAGCCTATAGGTAAAGGTTCGCACATGCAAAAACGATGGTGCTTTTCCTTTCTCACAGATCGGTGCAATGGGATTACTGGCCTCGGTGATCTCCGAGGCCTTTTATCCCAGAAGCCTCAGCCCCCGAAAGCTCCCTTAACCAAGGCCCCGACGTGAATGCGAAACCCCAAAACCCCAGACATCCCTCAACCCCGAAGCTTTCAGGTGCTGCCGCGAATCGCAGCTTGTCCCCCGAGGTCGCGAAAGAGGGACCCTGATATGGGGTTTCAGGAATACCGTAGATTTTTTGGCATTTGTTTGGGATGACACAACATGGTATCACCGGCAAAGCGTTGGTAGAGGACCCCACTGTCTGACATGTTTAGGATCCTTAGCAAGCACCTTTCCAGAACCTACTGGCTTAAGGCTGTTTTCGAAACCGTTCAAAGATCCGACAATTTGTAGGCTTAAGATCATGTGGTTTTAGGAGGTCACTGTTTTTATCCAGGGCTCCGACAGCCGAAACCTTTTGATCCTTTGAGGAAGCTCGTTGGCTAAGCCAGTGGAAAGCAAACTCCCGAGACCCTCGGGGCAGACTGTTGTGGTCGTTCATCTTGCCCAAGAAAGCCCTAAACGCCCCAACCCGAAGTCCAAAACCCTTTGACCCCAACGCGCAGTCCTAGATCCCTGTAGAGCAGCAAACTTCGGATCCGAATCTTCCCTCCCTTCCTCCCTCCCTCGCTCGCTCGCTCTCTCTCTCTCTCTCTCTCTCTCTCTCTCTCTCTCTTTGTTGTTGCTTGTTTTGGCTCTTTTTGTCTTTCTCTCTCGTCACATGTACTTATACTGCTAGTATAGTAACTACAGTTCTCACACACACACACACACGCACTCTCACACATAGCCATGTTCGTATGTAGAATCACATATGCAATTATGGGTATACGCGTCTACACATCCGCACATACAAAGTTCTATACACAGATCTCAACCCCTTTCCTAAACCCTACATCCTGAAGACTTGGTCAGCTGGGCGGCTTTTAAACAAAGAGCCTATATCCCCACCTACGTCCTAGACCCTGTATCCTAAAGCCCTAAACCCTAAATGCGAGTGTGTGAGTCGAAACCCTAAACCCTACGCCGCTGTTTTTGGCGAGTTCTTTGGACCTGCACGGCTTCCGGGAGCCTCGAAAGCACGTGCAACCGACTTGGGCGGCCATGTTGCGTGGCCCCTGGGGGGCTTGGGGGGGAAAACGGGGCTGAGGCTTTCAGCTGTAAGAGGTTCGGGTTTGGGCTGAGAGTTTAGGCTTTAGGGTCGGTTTCGGGTTTAAAAGCGGGCTTCAGCAATAAATGGCACTGGAAACAGTGCAATGCATATAGGGACGATAGTGGGGCTACTAACCAACCCCTGCAGGAGCAGTTCAGAATTGAGGAGTTTCTATAGGCTCCGCAGGAATTAATTTTGTATTTTTGTTCATACAAAACCCAAGAGTATTCAACTAGCATTTTAATATGATCTTTCCGGGGTATACTATGGTTGTAAGAGGGGGGGTATAGGTTTAGGGTTGGCTTTTTTCATGTTCTCAGTTAGGGGTTGTGGCCTTCAGAGTGGGGAATAGTAGTTTCAGCCTTGCGGGGTTTCGGGTTTCGTGAAGTCCATCTAGAAGTTTCCGAAAACTAGGGATACCCTATGTTGGGGTCCTTATACTAAGGATCCTACTATTTAGGGTACTGTATTAGGGTCCCCTATTTTCGGACACTCCCATCTCGACGCTGTTGCTCTTGCTTCCAACCTCACCCTCGAGGCTTCAACTCATCATCTTACTGTCTTTTAGTATATACATACATACATATATATATATATACATATGTATTCCTGTGTGGTCATATTATGGTAGAGTGTGGGTGTTTTGGATCTCCGCACCGCGACACATCCAGGTCTTGATTCATAGTTGTTTAGGCTTTAGGGCTGAAAGGGTCAACAGAGGGGCTTGGGTATCGGTGCTGCGTGTCGGCCTCGTTCAAAATGATTGCAGGTCGTGCCCGACTTGAGTCCATTAAAAAGGTTTAGGGTCATAGTCCATGGTGCCACTGATTCTCGAGGATTGTCCGCAAGCTGGCTCACTGCTCTTATAACCTTGTCATGCCAGGAAAGGCAGCAGAGTATGAGAAGGAATACGCTGCAGGCAAAACTCCTGCAGATCTTTGCCCGATTCCCTTGAAAGACGATCCAGGGAACCAAAGCTCTTCTCCCCTGCAGAGAACTCCCAAGCCCTGAGAGGGAAGGTCTCAAAAAAATTCCCTGCAACTCCGCGCCCAGGCACGCAACGCCCCCCGGGAGGCGAAAGCAGAAGGGGACGTTTATGCGCTTACCGTCTCTCGGATGACCTTTGTTCCTAAAGATTTCTGAGTGATCAATCCTTGATAATCTTCTGTCTATCTACCTTTTGATCAACATTTACACAAGCTTGACGGCAGTCCAGATGGCTTCCCTCTGACTGTGTCAAGATAGCGGCCTTACTAATTACCTATACTATTTGGGGGGTTCCTTATTATAACTGTTATATGATTGGGCCTCAAAACCTACGTTATAGTACCCTTATAGATCCCTTAAAGTAGCCCCTTATAGTCCCCTTTAAAAAACCTCTTTCTACTTATTAAGGCCCCCACATTATACTGCCCTTAAAGATCCCTTATCCTAGCCCTATAGACCCCCTTAAAAGGAGCCGCACACCTACTTATCGTAGCCCTTATAGGCCCCGTTACCGGAGCCCTATACCTGTACTATTTTACGGGTTCTTTCAATTATTACGGAAACCCTAAACCCCTAAACCCCTAAACCCCAAAGCCCTAAGCCCTAAACCCCTACGTCAGATTCCCCCAGAGCTCAGGAGCGGCAATGGCTGCACGCGCTTCGCGGCTCCAGCCACTGCAGGCTTCCGGGCCCCTTTTTTTGGGGCATAGGAATACCGACATGGGGGTTTCCGAAAATTCGGGGTACCTTATTTGGGGGGTCCTTATAATAAGGATCCTACTAGGGTACTATATTAGGGTCCCCTATTTTCGGAAACTCCCATATTCATGCTAGTCTGGACTATAGATAGAAGTATCAGTCTTGCTAGTAATATTAGCATTAGTAATAGTATGTCTACTCATCTTAATATTACTATGCATATGATTTTTACTATACTACTACTCATATGAATATTGGTTGGTATTAATAGCTGAGGTTTTGCTGCGGCGTCGGGCGATAATTCGTGAGGCTTGTGCGGAGGGCACGGCTCAAGACACGGGCCTTGCCAAGTTTTCGCAGCAGTGGCCAGGTGCTGCATGTTTGACATGTTGTCTGAAAGCACGCCTACAATCCTCATCTTATAAGAACCGACCAAGACCCGCATTCTCTTGTCCGCCAGTTGTTTCATCCGCTTGAAATGGGGTTGGAGCCAAATGGCCATGCTCTCTCAGCGGAGTCACTGCCGTCCACCTGCGAGAGCAGCCACAGCCCTGAACGCTTAGCCAGACTGTACAGCAATCTGGACCCAGAGCGGCTCCGAGCCGTTCCTTTGAGCATTTGTCTGGCGAACTGGGGCCGACATTTCCGTAACGAAGTGGAGGGCGCATTCTCAGTGGAGTCAGCAAATGACCATCTCAGCCAGAAGACTGAACAGATCGACAATTTTCTCAGCCATGATTGGGGTACCAGCCGCTTTCTGAAGGTGCTGACCTTGCTTTGGGTGTTCAACATCCGAGCCGCCACTATCGCAACCTTTCTTATCAGTTGCATCGTTGGCTTCCTCCGTATTTATGCCACAGGCAGCATGGTGGACCACTGGTGCTCTATCTTTTTTGGCTATGCGACATTCGTCATTGTGTTTTGCTGGTGGCAAAGAATGCAATCTCTCTTTGGCTTCAGGCGCATGGTTTTCCTTGATAAACTGTGCATTGCCCAGCACAATCCGCAGTTGAAGCAGCAGGGAATCCTGGGATTAGCCAGCTTCCTACAGAAGTCCGACGCGCTCACGGTTCTTTGGACGCAACGTTGGGCAACTCGCCTTTGGTGCACCTACGAGTTAGCTGCCTTCATGCGTCAGGGTAGCAAGCCAATTCAGCTCATGCCGGTGAAGCTGGCGGGCATTTTGCTGATGCAGGGATCCTGCTGGGCCGCGATCACCATCGCCCATGCGATTGTGACCTCTGACGGTTCGGATTCTAATTCCGGCGTTTATCAGCTGTCGCTCGTCGGCCTAGGGATCTTCAGTGTGATCCTGATCGCTCTCCTCCCTTTGATGGTGCACACGGGCCTGTGGTTCATGAAGGAGCTGGCTGCGCTACCAGAGCAGTTGAAAGCGTTTCGAATACAAGATACTGAGTGCTACTGCTGTGCTCACGGCCATCGCCACCCAAAGACGGGAGCAGCGATTCCGTGTGACCGAGAGTCTGGGCTTTGGAGTAATTACCATACTTTAATACTTTTGCGGGACCTGTTGCTTAAAGGGAACCATTATGAACTACAAGTCCATGCTTTTTTTTCTGCCTGGTTTTTTCAAAGCCCAGGAGTATGTGTATTGGATGCTCCGTACGTGGTTTCATGATCCAGAAGCACCGGGGGAGTCGTACCTGGATTCGTTCAATGCCTTGGTGAGAGAACAGATGGCACCCGTTGTGCTTAAACATGCAGGTGGGAGCACTCTGCCTTTAAGTTACGCTTTGTATGCTTGTGCCGCCTGCAACTTGCCTTGGCTCAGTGACTACATCCCCTGGTGGGCTGCCGCATATGTTTCAGGATCGAAAGCTGGCGTTACTGGCTTTTTGTGGTGGCTGCGCGGCATGATGCTTTTCTTGTACCACCCTCTTCTGCAGCTCGCAATGATGCGAATCTGCACGATGATGTGGAAGGTCTTGCTGCCACTGGCAGACCGAACTTGGCGCACTGTGTTGACAACACTGCAGATTCTCATCATGATCGTCATTGCGATGGTTCTTTGGCTCGCATTTCGCTATGTGTACCAGGCCACGGACAGCACAAGTTTGTTGCCGGCTGTGCCCTTTGTCGCACTTGCCATCCTCGACATCGCCCTTTTCTGGCAATCCCGAAATCGGCCTACAGCGTCTGCAGGACCAGAAGAAACAGGTGTGTCTTCATCCCACGCCATGGACCCTGAGCCCGAAGATGTCGAAGAAGATGGGAGGACTCCCAGTCGCAGCTGCAGCTGGCACATCTCCGAAGCCGAGGCCGAAGGGCCATTGGTTGAAGTGAAGCTGTAGCCGGAAAGAAGTCGAACAATTCTTCTCCACATAATGTCGGGGCCTTAATCATTGGAATAGGGTTTTGGGGTGTATTATACTTTACTTGAAACCCCCCAAAGTTGCATTGTTATTTGTTTATACTTCCATATTAGGCATAGGGCCACAAATCTACAACAGACTCTCAAGTCTCGGCTGCTTGCTAGTGGCTTTGTCTCACTACCCGGATCACTGCCCGCTTGCTCGTACCACTGTCGTACGAAGCTGACTGCCTGGACACTCCATGCACCTTCTACCAGACCCTAAAGACCTACTAGTATAGGCCCTAAACCCTAAACCCCTGAACCCTAAGGACCACGTACCCCTGTGTGAGGGTACAAGGAGGGTACCGGTCGGGCGCTTTCAGCTCAAGGGTTTCTGTCACCGGAGCTGAGGGCTTCCCCGCGCTCGCCGTGGTCAACAGGATGCCTGTGACCCTTTTTCCGGCGAGTCAGGTCAGACTGCTTTTTCAAATGGCTTTTTTGCTCTGAAAAAAAGAATCCCTGTCAAATGCAGCCAACTCGTCGCGATGATGAGTAATATGCTTGTTCTGCGCCAGTGCCTGCACAATATCGTAGCATGTACCAAACCTGCGATGGCTACTATTATTATTGTTATTATTATTATTATTATTAATAATATTATTATTAATATTATTATTATTATTACTTAATTAATTAATTATTATTCTTATTATTGTTATTATTATCATGACTATGATAGGTTTACTGCGTGCCCACGCAGCGTTGCGAGGCTGCTCCCAGAGGCAGAGGCACGGATGGAGGCTGGTGGAGCTTTAGGGCACTGTCGGGAGTTCAAGGATGCAGTTCATGGGCACCCAGAGGCTCCATAGTAGTTCCGTTTTGAGGTTCTTATTTAGAAGCCTTGACGTAATCCTAAAAAGGAGCTACTATAGAGCCTATGGGTAATGAACGCGACCCGTTGACCGCTTCGCATGTCATCTTGGGTTGCGTGCAGGCGAGTGCGAAGAAACTATACTTTCTTTCTGCAGAGGATAAAGCATTCCGCCGTCTCGCTTTCCCTGTTCTCTCGCCCCCTCCTTACTTGATGTGTTTTTTCTTCTAATCTAAGTGAGGTTGATGGTTACTGTTGAACGTGTTGCATCTTGTTATGTGGTGGCTTGATTGATTTGCTTTATTTATGTCGGGTCTCTGGCAATCCGACTTCAGGTGGCTCTGGTTCTGAGGTCTGTGTTGTGACCACTCCCAACCCTAATCTTACACATCGAGATGTGTACCGAAACCCCTAGCCTAGAAGCCCTATAGCTACTACTATTAACAGAAAACCTGATCCCTGGTCTAACGGAGCTAATCCATCTTCTGCCGCGCGAAAAACAGCCCAGAGACTCCAACATCCCTTAACTAAGGAACATTCCCTTAAATCATATTAGGGATCCTACTACAATTCAAGGCTATCTTCCTTAATCAAGGGATATTCCTGAAAGAATATTAGGGGTCCTACTATAAGTTAAGCTATATACTCCTTAATTAAGGGATATAGCGGCGTCTCTGAGACAGGCCAACCGGCAAGTCGAGAATCAGGGCCAACGGGCCGCTGTTGCGGCCTCGGGGCCTTTGCTTTCGATTCTTAGGGCCCCGAAAAAGCACGTAAGCAAAATTCAGGATAGGGAGATCCCATATAATATACCCCCTTATAATGAAGCCCAATAAGGTAGGGATATCCCCATAAAACGCTTATGGGTGGTTGTCAAAATTATGGTCCCTGATTGAGTACCCTAAATATTAGGTGCCGTACTATAATAGAGACCCAAAAAGGGACCATAATTTTGACAACCACCCATAAGCATTTTATGGGGATATCCCTACCTTATTGGGCTTCATTATAAGGGGGTTGATATGGGATATCCCTATCCTGAATTTTGCTTATGTGCTTTTTCGGGGCCCTACAATTGGGCTTCTGAAATCAAGGCTGATAGCAACTCCTAACAATATATTCTAATATCCTAGAGGGCTTCTGAAATCAAGACTGGTAGGAACTCCTAGCAATCATATTCTAATATTCTAGGTATCGATTTGGGATGAGTTGTATTTTCCCTTACTAGGTGCTTAGCAAAGAGCCCTTCATATTTCATTCTGGGGACTGTTGGAACATCCAAAGAATCATAATGATAATGGGGAGGGTTTTTTGATAATTAGAATAGGGTTTCGGTGTAGATTGCACTGAACGGGAAAGGACTGTAAGAGGATATTATGAATCTAAGCTTGGAAGGAAGAGGGCCGATTTGAAGCATCGGTTTTTGCATGAATACATAACTGTCTTGAGCGAGGTTTCGTCATTTCTTTTTAACCTCGAGCTGGTCCATGCTGAATTCACGGCTTTTTGGGCCGTTACCTGTGTAGTTACACGATTTCATGGAATAAACCGTACAGACTGATTATATCATATACTAGAGGACCCCTCCGGCACAATCTAAAGAAGCACGGACGCTATGATGACACAGGTCCCTGACGTTGCAACACAGTGCCCTTTACCTTACACCGTAAATCCTAAACCCCAAAATACGGCAATTTGATCCCATACCCGAAGCCCCTAAACCCCTAACCTACCCTAAACCCTCAACTCAACTCCTTCAACCCCTGAACCACTACGTACCGCAAACCCTCAACTCTCGGTCTCTCAACCCCTACACCCCTAGACCCCTAACCTACCTTAAACCCTCAACTCCCTAAACCCCTAAACCCAACACCGCCGAAGCCTCGAGGAGGCGACTCTTTCCGGCTCTCTGCAGCCGGCACTTCGTGAGTTGACTTCGCCGGATTCCTACATCCGTCTAACGTGCAGGGAATCTAAGCATGCAGACGTGTACATATGTGTATATATATATATATATATATTTAGAGAAATGTGCCTTTGTAGGCGGCGGATGCCTGCATCCGCATGCCGCGAGATGGAGAGAGAGAGAGATACCCGAATACATGTGTATGTATATACACACATACATACACATACTTAGAGCTTTGTACATAAATAGTATTGTGAAGTAGCCTTTCTTCCGAAACACAACGGCATGCGCAATGCATATCAACATCATTTCCGGAACAACATGCAAGTGTCCTTAATGCACAGGTTCTCCATGAATTTCAAGACTTGCACCCTGTTGCACATGTAGACGTTTCCGCAGAGTGTAAGGAAGCCATCCAGACCCGGAATCATCTTGTCGTTGAAGCCTCCAGCTCGTCATGATGCATAGAACTCGGTGCTTCTGTGTATGTGCCTCATGGCCTTCACCCTGCACCTCACTTCCAGGCTGTTTCCGAACTTGCCACTCAGAAGCATTTTGGGATGCCAGCTTTTGTGCGGCCTTGTATTTCAACCAATATGAGACTTACTCGTATGGTTTTGGATGAATCCCGTATCGGACACTAGGCCCCACTACCACTAGCGCAGCTGACTTGGAATCTTTTGGAGACGATGTTGAAGGGTATCTCATAGTTGAAGCGCAGGAATGGGTAACACCGCAGGTTTCGAAGGCGCGCCTTCCATCCCATCGGTTTCGAACCGAGTTGGCCCTGCGAAACGCCACGATGCCACCGCTACTATACTGCTATTGTTATGGCTACTGTTTTCTCAGCAATTACCAATATTACCAATGTGGGTGGCAAAATACCATTCGTATGAATTACTATGCTTTTTGGTTCAAGCCCACGCGCTCTTTTGCAATGGCCTGTCATAGCTCCAACAACCTGAAACTGCGCTGCGACACACTGCAAAGAACTAGGAGGGACTTGTATACGCACATCTAGACATACTGAGACGCAAATGTGGGTGTGCCTTGGAGTTATATACGTATACAGTCCTGCTTGTTTCCGGTTTAGTTCAACTCACATGTGCTGCTTTTGCAAGTTGGGGCGTGTGCCTATCCGTGTCGCATGGCATTGCTTGGACCTGTTTACTTTCATTTGCCTGTTTCAATCTACCTTCTTGTGTGCCGAGTTGTCCCGAGAAAGTGCGAAGCTCCCCGGGCAGAGTGTCCCGTGGTTCTCACCCGAGTGGATCTCGGGGTGGTTCACATATGGCACGCAAGGATCATGAAATCAGATAGTAGCCCTTACCCATAGGCTCCATAGATAGTAGCTCCTTTTTGGGCTTACCTTATAGGGTTCTAAATATGGACCCCCCACAAGGAACTACTATGGAGCCTCTGGGTATAGTAAACCGCATAAGGACAGAACGGCTCTGCGTGGCAAAGACCAGCTTCCATCCCTATGAGGCAGGGCCCCTCCTTGAACCCAGGAGTTTGACGACCTTTCTGAAAATTAGGGGTACCTCATTTTGGGATCCTTATACTGAGGATCCTACTATTTGGGGTAATATATATTAGGGTCCTCTATTGTCGGAAACTCCCAGATCATCCGCCAGTAGCGTCCGATGTGTAATGCTTGGGGGCAAAATCGCACCTTGCACCCAGCAGCAAATCCTTCAAAGCCCCGGGCACCTAGAGAAATGACAGCGGATGACTCACATATATGGCGATTCAGGACGCTGGGCCGGCATTTTTAACTTCAGAACTGGATTGGCAAGGGCAGCCCTAACTGCTTCAACTTGTCACACGGTGGCTGGAGGCCCGCAAGGAAGACTACTGCCTTTGCTTCATCACTGCTTATATTGTTCACTGTGGTTTATTGTGGCACCACGTGCGCTCGAAAGCAGGACCTTCCAAGTAGAGAGCATACAGCCGAAATTTTGACGGCGAACTTTCACAAACCTTTGCATCCAAACGTAAGCTTGGTTTGGCCGTGGGACTGGAAATTTATCCTCTGCCACTTTTGCAGGCTATGGTCGTCCGGGCTTCCACGCTGCCATATGGCTTTTTCGGACATCGTCTGGCCCGGAGGCTGTGCTCTCGGATGCTCTTTGCAACAAGTGCTCACTGTACTGCCGGCTGTGATTTCGTCACCGGCATGGTCATGCTATTCAAGTTGCCCCTTGCTTTCAGAACC